GTTCCTATAAAAAACACACCTGATTGATTACGTTCCTATAAAAAACACACCTGATTGATTACGTTCCTATAAAAAACACACCTGATTGATTACGTTCCTATAAAATCACACCTGATTATTCCTATAAAAACCACACCTGATTCATTATGTTCCTATAAAAACACACCTGATTGACAAAAAGCGTAGTCACAAATTTCCCTGGCTTGAACACCTCCACAACCTTTCTGATCAGGTCGTCGTACGACGTCTGGGAGAGGTTGGTTTCGAAGCTGACGTAGGAGAACTCTGGCTCGGGGGTGATGTGGATGGTCCAGTATGTTCCCTGCACATGGAAACACACGTCAACATGTGTTTACAACAACCGACATGACAAAATGTGAAGGACATCATCATCATCCTCACTCACATCAGTCTTCATTCCATTCATAGAGTATCCACAAGGGTTAAACATTGTGGCGTCAATCACAGAACCTGGTATCAGGTCACGAATTCCACTCCTCTGAAAGAAGAAGCAAAGACGTCAACCTTTTCTTTGGACCCCACTGGGACCATCACAGCTTCCTGCCTACTTACACGAGTGACCTCACTTGCAGAAACACCGTCTTTCATGAAGAACTGGTCCATATTTGCTGGATCGAGGTCGCTCATCAGAACTTCCAGCGTCTGATCTGCATGCTTGTTCTCCCAGTACTCTGGCAGATCCAGGGTGAACAGGTACCTGTGAGCAACGAGCCAGGAGTAAGTCAGGAAGCTGGCAGGTTGAGCCGTCAGAACATGCTTCCATTTGAAAGAGGAACGTCCAGAAGATAGACCTTCTCAGCCTCACTCAGTCTGGAGGCAGCAGCCATCAGAAAAGCTGCACAGCACACTCTACAACGAGCTGACTCATCTGTTCAGAGCTCTACAACATTTTGTCAGCAGCATCATATCTAACGACATCAGCAGCACAGTGGGTGGACAGAATCAGGTTCCAGTCTGAGACCGTCACATGATGCTTACCAGCAGTCAGAGTTCAAACGCCCCATGCAATAGGCTGCACCATCTGGGAGGAACACAAACACAGACTGGTTTAAGTTCAAACTCTTTGTACATTAATGCATCATCTTTTTAAATTAAACCTGCAACAAACAAACCATAACTGATCAGATCATTAGTAGGTTTTTGTAGAACTAGTTGAACACAACAGGGTTTCTATACGTATCTAGAAATTACACTTTTCCCAATATAATTTATGAGTTTCTTTTGGTTTATTAAAATTATTTAAAATCAAATACTTTTAATGTTTGCAGTGACCCAACTGTCCAAACAGAAGGGTTAAAAGTCTTCAACTCAAAACTTGTTTAAAGTGCCCGTGACATCATTTTTTGTAAGAAATATAAATGCATTTTTGGATGTAATGATATATTTTGAGTCCCTATCAGAGAAGTCAGAGTTCAAATGATATTGTTTAAATAAACAAAGACCAGAGAGTTCCTTTTCAAGTTCCTCATTTAGGTCACTTTGTTTCACTTTGAGCCAAGTTCAAAAGAAAAAAATATGACAGTTACTGTATGTGGCAAAACGTGTAAAATCATGTGTAACATGTCAAGTTTCTTAAATATTAGGGCTGTGTATTGGCAAGAACTTGGTAACATGATATGCTGCAATACTGTAAGCCAGTGGTGCCCAACCCTGGTCCTCAAGGACCCCTATCCAGCATGGTTTACTGGTTTCCCAGCAGGGAAACCAGTAAAACATGCTGGATAGGGGTCCTCAAGGACCAGGATTGGAAACCACTCTGCAAAACAATCTGATATTTCTCTTTACAAAAGGAAGAGTTTGGAAAGACATACTGGTATACACAGTTTGTTTTTTTTCTTCTTCATACATTTAAAAAAATCTGGAAACTACTAAACTCAACTTCCATACTTTTAAACTGAAGGAGTCTTGAGCACAGGAAGTGTTGTGGTTTTAAAAACCCTTACAGTCAACTACCACCCATCAATTGGCTGTTTGGTGTCTTTAAAACTGCACCTGTATTCAGTTTATAACAAGTCTTCAATCCTTTTAGACCACATGTCAAACTCCCTCAAACACTGTCAAACAGTCCCGTGTGTCCAGCCAGGGGGGGGACAGCTACTCACTGGAAACTAATGAGTAAAACTTTATTAGCTTTACTTTTAATAATTTTTCGGTATTTCAGATTGATTTATTTCATGAAAACAGAAGGCACGTTCACCGATGGTCTTTCTTCTGGCCTTTAGGATTATTAATGGTCCAGTACCTTCTGATCTGAGAGAGCGTGGTGGAACATAGGGATGTAACAGGCTGGTAAGATACGGAGGAGCCAGGCCATTTAAAGCCTTATAGGTGAGCAATAACCCTTGAAATCAGCCTGAGTCTGACAGGTCAACCAGTGGAGGGATAACAGTACAGGAGTGATGTGGTCAAATCTCCTGGTATGAGTTAAAATACAGGCAGCTGCATTCTGGACCATCTGCAGACATCTAAAACTTTTCTTGGGTAGTCCAGAAAGGACAGAATTACAATAATCGATGCGTGAAGTCACGAAAGCGTGAATAAGAACCTCAGCATCATCAAAAGAAAGGATGTTGGCGATGTTCCTGAGGTGGATGTTCCTGAGGTGGTAGAAGGCAATCCTACTTACTTCCTTTAAGTAGAAGTCAAAAGAAAGCTCAGGATCAAACCACACACCTAGGTTTCTAACTTTATCTTGGCATCTAATGACCTGATTGTCAGTTTGCAGGGTGAAAGCTTGAGACAAGCTGTGGAACTTCAAAGGTCCAATGATGAGTAAATCAGTCTTATCAACATTAAGAAGCAGGAAATTATTAGATAACCAACTCCTAATAGTTGACAGACAGGCCTCCAATTTAGGCAAGTTGACAGTTTCCAGCTGTGAAGGGCACGTACAGCTGTACATCATCAGCGTAGCAGTGGAAAGTAGGGTTGGGCATAATCGTATCATGTGCAATTAATCATCAGAAAAACATTAATCGATTATTTTTTGGCACTTGACTATTAATACGATTAATGCCACCAGGCAGAGTCCGCTCTGTGCTCCTCTCCTCTTCAAATATGATGAACATTTAAGCAAAAGTTCTGTAATTTATTTATCCATCAACACAATTAAAATTTGATGTATAGCCTGAAGTCTGTGATATTGACACAATTTGGAAAAGATTTTTACGAAGAGCAGATCTTTCCCACTAAATTGGTCATGTGACTACGAAATAAGGGTGTCCAGGGACTCCAGGGAATTAATCGTCAAATTAATCGTTATCGGCTAAATACCACAATTTATCGTGATTAATTTTTTTGCCAATATCGCCCAACCCTAGTGGAAAGTAACATTAAATGAATGCAGGAGAAAACCAAGGGGCAAAAGATAAAGTGAAGACAGTAGGGGGCCCAGCACGGATCCCTGAGGGACCCCATGCTTCACAGCACAGGTCTCAGAGAGCTTGTTTTTAAAAGAAACAGAGATCTGCCAGTTAGATATCATTTCAGCCATGAAAGTACATTACCAGTGATTCCAATAAGATGTTCAAGTCTACCCAGTAAGATACAATGATCAACTGTGTTAAAAGCAGCGCTTTGATCTAACAGCAGTAGAACTGAAGGTTCTAGTTCTTATCAGAGTTTAAAAGGAGTTAAAACTCTGTTTAGTCAAAGTTAAACATGAAACAAAGTTCATCACAACTGGCCCTTCAGGGCCACCGTAACGCTCATGTGGCCCTCGGTGAAAATGAGTTTGACCCCCCTGGTCTAGACCCTTTGGATCAACTGAACTGTGACTCGTCACTATTTACACAAACTCTAAATATAGATTTTATTTTAGGTCTTTAAATGTGTTAAACATTCACCAACAAATGAAAACACTACACTCATTAGAGCATTAAATACTCATGCAGCTGAAGTAAGTTTGAGAAACTGAAAACATTTTTAAGATATTAACTCATTAAAAAAGGACATCTTAGCGGATCATACTTGGGAAAATCTGGCTGAGAAAGTCCACTTCCTCCTGGAAGTTTCGATGAGGGAACTCCTGATGGGTTGGCTTCATAAAGTTCTTGCGTGAGTAGAAGAAATTCTGCCAGGAAACACAAACAGTTATTGTTCCTGATGCCAACATGAGCTGAAAGCTGCAGACGTTAGAAAGGCAGAGTGTCTGACCTCGATGGCATCGAAGCCGCAGTACTCTCTGGCCAGCTCCAGCAGAGGCACCAGTGCTTGCAGTAAGAGGGTGGTTCCACATGTCTTCAAAATGAAACGTCTCTTGGAGACAAACATGCTACTCTCACTGCAAAGAACATGTAAAGACGATTCAGGATAGAACAAAGACTTTACTTTACTCACCGTTTACCCAACAGTACACAATGATTACTGGTGACAACAATCTGCCAGTACACACACAGCACTTACCTGAGTATATAAGCTTCCTGCTTGTCAGTCTTTGTCACACTTATGATCAAACAATGCACATTCTCCAAAAGTTTGTCCCACTCAAACCTAAACAGAAGAAATGACAGACATCAACTTATTTAAATTTATTTAAAAACAAGTAAATTTACTTTTTAAATGTGTAAGTTCTGCAACAAAAACCTACTGCAGAAGTTCAGTTTCTTTGAGCTCTACTGTAGTAGCACATTAGGTTTAATGTCATGTCAGCAATGTAAAAACAAATTCTTTAAATGTTTTTATAAATAGCTCTGTTGTAGTCTGGCAGAACAGGAAAGTAAAACATTCAGTCTGTTCTGCAAAACGAGGTCTGCTGGTAAACAAACCAGCTGAGTTTGTTCAAAGAAACACGTCTTTGATTCTCTCTAATGCTAAATATTCAACAACAACAGAAAGACTATTTTCAGCTAAAATCAGCGCCGCGCTCAGTTACATGCAGCCACTGCAGCTCCTGCTGCCCGTGCCTCCCCCTCCCACCGCCGCGCAAAAACAGCTGCAGTGCAAAAGCAGCTGCGTCACATTTTCCAACACAACCTTGGAAGGAGAACAGCCCGGGCCTTGAACGCTCGCGAGAAGAGCAGCATGTGCTTCCCTGAGCCGTCTGCTGGTTTCTGCTGCACCAATCATCTGAACCATGAGCTTCTGACTGTAAACATGCACCGAATTAATTTAACAATCTAATAAATCAGTTTTATCAACTGAAATCACTTTTTAAAAAGGGTCAAAAGCAAAGCAGACTGCTTCTCGTTTTGCTGGGGGACTATTTCCTGCAGTAAACTGCATTTGAACATGTGCTGCTGCTTCAGATGCTCAACACTCATCGATTTATTTAAACTGCAGGAGTGACTCAAACTAAAACACACCTTACAACAGTGCAATCACTACTGATACAACACACATAATGAGCTGGCTGTCCCCACAGTAAAAACACTAGTAATGAGGCCCCAGAAGTCCCTTTACACAACATGCATTTTGTACAGAACACAACGTGACTGTGAGGACAGAACAAACTTCAAAAACATAGATAAAAATTACAACGACTCACAGCTTTAAGTTTATTTCTTCTATCAAAGACAAAATAGATTAGGAGTTTTTTTTAATTAAACACTGGCTAATGAAGGCATGCAAGTACTTGTGACAAAAGCACGACTGACAAAAATAAATTAATAAATGCACCTTTTACATTTTAAATCTTTAGTTACTGTTGTCTGGTGTTGGGAAAACTTTATGCACCTTAAAGGACTGATGTGATTACACAAACTGATTTATATAAGTTCATGTCTATGTGTAAAGAGTGCAAAATAAAACTTCTGACAATTAGATGCAAACTTACAAAAAATAAAATAAAATAAAAAACTGCATAGAAAAGCCAATACATTTTATCACCGATATTTAAACACAAATCAGATGTTTTAAAGTTAGTACTTTGATACCTTCAACTATTACCCAGACACATGAACTGCAAAGAAAAGATGAAAAAAATAAAGATTTACTGCAACGTGTTTCTACTACAGGAAGTTACAACTCCAGTGGGACAAACGCTGCAGCAACTACACTGAGTGACCGATTAACACAACTATTGTTTGACATTTAGGGATCCCCGATTAGTTGTAACATTACACTTTATTTAATAAACATATATTTTAACTGTAAAAATACTGTAGGATGTTTAGTTTTTATCATTTTTAAACTAAAAGTTAAAAAACATATTTTAACACGGACGGAGCCATTTTATTTGCACACAAAGCATTCTGGGTAAAAGATGACGTGGATAGGTCCTCGGTGCGAGGCTGCTAGCGAGCTATATCCACCCTGAAGGTTAATCTTGGACAATATCTGATGATCGACTCTTTTAAATGAAACCAGAGAGCGTTGACAGAGAGGAGAAGGTAGAAATGACTCAGCCTGGAACTGAAAATATGGATGGAGGACAACAGAGCTGCTTCATGGAAGAACAACCTCAGCTTAGACTGTTAGCTTTAGCATTAGCCCGGATGCTATCACCATATATATGTATTAGCTCAGCGCTACACATTCTCCTTTCATCACTGAGGTCCTCCATCCACATGACAGAGAGGGGAACACAAAAATGACTCAGCTGTAACTGAAAATATGGATGGAGGACAACAGGTTAGCTTGTTTGTCGCGCTAGCGCGACAAACAAGCTAACCTGTTGTCCTCCATCCATATTTTCAGTTCCAGGCTGAGTCATTTCTACCTTCTCTCTGTCAACGCTCTCTGGTTTCATTTAAAAGAGTCGATCATCAGATATTGTCCAAGATTAACCTTCAGGGTGGATATAGCTCGCTAGCAGCCTCGCACCGAGGACCTATCCACGTCATCATTTACCCAGAATGCTTTGTGTGCAAATAAAATGGCTCCGTCCGAGTTACAATATATTTTAAACTTTTAGTTTAAAAATGATAAAAACTAAACATCCTACAGTATTTTTACAGTTAAAATATATGTTTATTAAATAAAGTCTAATGTTACAACTAATCATGGATCCCTTTAAAATCAAGTCAGGATCTTATTTTCTCCCTGACCAGGTTTGTTGTTTGATTGAGATAAAATCTGCTGCAGAGACATACCAACGTTTGGTTTCACAAAGACTGACAGGAGGGAGGGGCTGTTGAAACCTGTTTGGCTTCCCGACAGACTGACGGTGATACTGGAGAGGTGGGTCGCTCCCATTTTAGACTGGAACGCACACCGACGGCTAAATCTGGAAGCTCAGCAGGATCAAACTTCCACAAATAAAAAAAAAAGACCAGATTAAACTGCCAGGAGCTACCAGGAACGCTTCATTCATTCACAGAAGACCAAGATACAACAGACATCATTTACTACTTTTAAATCAAAGCACATTAACATTAAGTTTGTCACACGATTGAAGAAAAGTGGTGTCAACTCTTCAGCCAATCAAATGATCAGACAGGTCTGTTTACTAACGGCACAGGTGCTTCAGACAAAAATCCTCTGGTTGTGTAACTTCAGGAAGTAGGAACACGTGCAGCTACAAGATCAATAAACCTACAAATGAACTTATTTGATGTATGTAGAACCAATCCCTGAAGAACACACTTCAGTTCTGCTACAGCTACATTAATAAAATTAAGTGGTAAACCCTCATTCAAAACAAATAATCCAGTCCCGACTGGTGGAGGACAACTGGACAGGCCTAATCTGAAATATTTGACTGTGTCCTTTGGGACAGCTGCCCTTTCCAATCACTGGAGACGGACCACGACCCTCAGAACCCCTCAGAACCCCGAGGAGCAGAGGTAATGTGAGAAAGCTCCACATTTGTGAATCTGATGCCCTTTGGACTTATTTGGACACTGGCTGAAGTCCAGCGAGCCTGATCCACACACCGTGTCTGTCTAAGCCGGTAATCTGGCCTCTGGCTGTAAATTAATGCCGGTCCTCGTTCAACCGAACGGCCACAGTTCTCCCTTTCAGACGTGTATGTTCTGGTTAATGACCAGTAAAATCTTAGAGCGGCTGTGAACTCAGCCTGAAACCCAGCTGGTTGTGTAACACTGAGTCCAGACTGACTCCACACACACACACACACACTGAGATGAGCTGTAAAGTGCTGCACACACATGTGGTGCTGAAAGTTTCATTCAAACATGTCGTTTAAAAGATGAGTCGCTCTCAGACTGGATGCCAAATGGTGATAAATTATATATATATATATATATATATATATATATATATATATAAAATCTGTTAGAGCTCAAAATATGAGTGAGGGAGCAATCTCAGCTACTACCACACCAAATTTTAAATAGAGTTACAGCCTGGGCTGGCCTGTAGGCAGTATAGGCAAATGCTAAGGGTGCAGTCCATCTAGGTGGCGCCACACATTTTAAAAACTTCACATCAAAGTACGATATGATGAGGATTTATTCTGTAGAATAATCACGTTAAAAAGACTGAGCAAGATCATACCGTGAACTGCCAATTAATATTTGTCACTTTGCAGTTAGTGTCATGTGATTATGTACTTTTGGGTACGACAAATGATCACAATTGATGATCGACGTTGCTTCAATCCAAATAAATAAAATGACGCACCGGAACATCCAGATCAGAGGCAGGTTCAGATAAAAACACTGAACTACAGCATGTCAGATAATTACAACACTCTGACTGCACAACTTCAGAAGTTCAACATGCTAACAAGTAGCATCCATGTTTAGTAGGGCTGCAACAACACATGTACCCGTATCAAACAGTGCTTTAGGTTCAATACACACTTGTATCAAACAATAGATTTTTAACATTTATTTTATCAACTTGTCTCCTGAAGATGCTCTGTGTTGAAGGATCAGTGGATCTGTGTTCGACTACTCCACCTAGGCTGTATTTTTGAGCTCAGATCCACTGAGAAACTTACTGTTTCAGCAACATTTAATTTAAAAACTGGAGTTTTGAGGTTAAACAAATGTTCATAATTAATATAAATAAATTACAAGTTAAAAGGGGCATGGACATTTCTCTTTTTTGTATCGAAAAAATATCAAACCGTGAGACTAAAGTATCGAACCGAACCGTGAATTTTCTGTATCGTTGGAGCTCTAATGTTTAGCTAATTCTGTAAACAGTCGGCTGAATGTGACTTCGTCATCTTCTGCGTGTGTGGGTTGCATCAGGGCCGTGCAGAGTTCACACTGGAGTCAGATGGAGGTCGCATTTAAAATATAACCTGAAAGTTCACAACAAGAAAAAAAGTTTGCGGAAAAAAAAACTAATCAGAAGTGAGCATTAAGACCTGCAGTGTGAACATTAACAGGTCAACATATGGAAATAACATTGGAATTTAGAGGGATTACATCAAGTTTGAATTATGGTTGAATTGGTTTAATTTCAATGGCCTTTCCATTGCAACCTCATTTTCCCCAAAATTTGTGAGCTCAGCCCACTTAGACCATTTTAGTTAAAAAGTGTTACAAACGGGCAATTAATCCTTTAGGCATGCATCAGTAAAATCTGAACAATGGTTTATGAGATTTTTTAAACGGACATAAACAGGCCATGCAGCACCTGCACATTTCAGCAGGGCAATGACAGGTTGTTTCATTTTAACTCTGGGTTCAAGACTTTTGCAGGAGTAGACATAAGGATATGTTTCAGGTTGTCCAGCTGACAACCTGTTCACAAAACCTGGTTGTCTGCAAAACATTTAGGTTGTCCTAAAGAATCAGGAAAAATGTAATTTAACAAGTATATTGTTGTGTAGATGAAGTTTATTATATATAATTGTTGTCAGTCAGCAGGTTGACAGGATCTGTGTGAATAAAACTTCATTCTCTTCTTTGAAATAAAGTATTTAAGGCTCAGGGAGTACAGCAGCAAACTGTTGTTACTAAAATCTAGAGGTTACCAACATTCATCAACTTCTTTCTGCTCATAGGTCAAACATTTTCACTTAAACTGGAGTATACTGTGTACATGACCTTAATAAAAGTTACAGTTTAGTGTTCTGTTTGCTTTTACCAAGTTTTTTCTCCCTTTCAGTTTTATAAATGATGGACACTCAGAGAGCTTTAATCAAGGTCTTTTTTTCTTGGTTGTCCACCGAACAACCAGGAGACAGGATCTGGTTGTCTGAAATGAAAATAGGTTTTCTCAGACAACCTAAACAATGGTTATGTCTAGGGGTGTAAGAAAATATCGATACACTGAAATATTGCGATATTTCATTTCCTGATACTGTATCGATATTCTAAAGCCCTGTATCGATTTTTATTTAAGGTTTAAAATGTCAACTTTCCTGCCAGCCGTTCATTTTTATGTTGTAGTTCAGCCTCTGACCACTAGTTGGCAGCAGTGAGCCAGACATTTGGCTCCTCTACCTCTTGAGCACCAGGGAGTAAGGGTAGCATTAGCATTGTAAGTAAACATTAGCTTTTCTTCTTTTATTTTTCAGTAAGAGGTTTTTATTTAATAGAATTTTTGGACAAAAAATTGCAATATATCACAATATATCGCCTTGCTTACAGTATCGCAATATATCGGGATATATCGTATCGTGACCCCTCTGTCATGATATGTATCGTATCACCAAATTCTTGCCAATACCCAACCCTAGTTATGTCTACCCCTGATTTGGGTCTGGGGACCCCTTACAAACGGCAATAATAAAAATAATAATAATATAAAAAACATTCCAGGGACCCCCCATCATAACCCATGCTCTCTTAAAAGATAATTTATTGTTATTTCAGCCCCTAAATGCCATGGGAATATATTTTTTATTAAAGTTTATGTTTGTTTTATTAGTTCATTGTTCTCCATGCATTTTAAAAAATAAAAACCAAATTAACAATTTAGTGAAACGTTTTGAGGACCCCCAAGACACCTCTTGTGGACCCATGAGGGTCCTGGGACCCCAGTTTGAGAACCTCTGCTGTAAAGTACAACTTCGCTCAGCTTTTCCACTCAACCACTTTAAGCACGTGGCAAGACAAGAATTTCGTGTTTGAAAAACCGGGTCAGAGTTCATCCTTGTCCTGCTTATGGATGTGTGTGAAAAGGTCCCAGCCTCCTCTGCTGGAAACCAGTCACAGACCAGTGACCAAACCAGGAGGAGGGAACTCCGACCAATCACAGCAGCAGGGAGGGCAGAGCCCTCATGGCTGCAAACGTGACCTGAGCAGGGACTGCAGGCTCTTTGACTTTAACAAACACCACATAATTATTACAGCATTGTTAATTAAATGATTGGAAACAAACAAAATAAATAAGCTTTGTTTACAGCATGTCAGCAGTACTATTAGAGATAACTCTGTCTCACTTTACTCCACAGAACAGCAGCACCACAGCTCCCTGTCAACTACAACAAAGGCTGGTTTTAAGTGACCAGAAACGGGTTTGCAGGTGGTTCTGACCCGGTTTGGAGGGGTCTTGTTAGAGGAGACAGTGACCGCTAACGAAGCAGAGGACTGGGCACCACATGCTTCACCCCCTCCCTCCTCCTCCTGCCTGGTTGTTGATGAATGACGCAGGGAAATATCACTTCATTAAAATTAACTAAAAACAAAAACGTCACTCGACCATGGCAGTCCAACATGACAGATCATAAATTTAAATAACATTTAAATACAGAGAAAGGTTTAACGTCGACTACGTTAAAATCACCCAGAAGAGCAGAGCGGAGGTTTACATTACAGGAAGTAACACGGGTTAGCTAACATATCACGTCTTTGTGATTTAAACACTTAAAACCCTTCATCAGCAACGATTAGGAACAAAAACAGACAAAAAGATAGGATATTTACAGCCTAGAAGGATAAAATTAGAATGAATGACTCAGCTCTGAAGTGCTGTGTTAAAGGGGAGGAGGCCATTTTCAGTGACCGTGTTAGCTAACTGTAGTTAGGCCAAGTTTTTCGCTTTCAGGCTAACAAGCTACAGACGAATTAATGACGATTTTATGGCTCAGCTCAATATTTATCACCAGACGTGAATGAAAGCCACATGTGGCGGGGTTTGACCCACTGGACTGACACCGCACCGGAGCACACTGAAACGAGTCAAACCTCGGGATGGTACGGAGGTCCCCGGTCCCTTTGGTCTCATCCTGCCGGGAGAACCAGACCTCCAACAGCTTCTCGGTCCCCTCGAAGAAATGTGCACCGTTATCCTCCATCATGAGACAGCAGACACCCAACAAAAAACTGTAACGTCGCTTACAACGTTCGTAGCTTAATTAATCCTTCCTCGATTAGCTATAATTTATTGAGGTACAGTCCTTTTAAGTAATTCAGATGTTGATTTTCTTGAGTTACCGCGTTCCCTTTTACAGAGAATACCGTAAGCGAGCGCTAGCTAATATCGCCGGCCATACTGTGTAAAGCGTTGAATGAACCTCGTGCGGTGCTTTTATTCAGACCTGGACCTACGTCAAACCCAAACGGACCAATCCGGTGGCAGGATTTCAAGTTGTCATTTGCGATTGGTTCAGAAGATTGTCAGTCACGGTGTAGCGAGGAGTTTTGTCACGTGACATTTGACCGCTACTTCAAAATAAAAGGCAGTAGGCTAATTCAAAATATAAAAACATCACGCAAAGATAAAAAATAATCAAACGCTAAATAAATATAACTTTTTATTGCGTAAATATTGTTTTATATCGGTGATTTATAATACTTACATTTGTTTTGCTTTTAAGTGCACGTGGAGGAAAGCATGGTAAACAAAAACAATGCTGACATATTTGTACAGGAACTACATGAAGCTGTGAAATAAAAATAAAAACGTGAACGTCTTAGTG